ATCTGTTTTCTGTCTTCAGTATTTCACTTGTCCTTGTACTGTGGTCAGTCAGCTTTGGCAATTTGTCAGCGATATGTGGCTACTAAAATGGCCTTAACAGATATTTGTGGTATTTGTGTTCACAAATTTTCCTGACAGATGTTGCTGTAGTTTCTTTGAATGATGTGTTTGAATTAACTTTCAAGCTAGAATATTTTCCCTATTATATGTACTTTCTCTACCTTCTCTGAGTGCATGTGCAGAACAACTCATCAGTGGTCCCTTTAAAACTTTGTACACATTTGAAAAGTATTTTCTAATGTCCAGTTAGCCTTTTATATTTCTAAATTAAGCAAACTATTCTGTGATGTTTTCTAAATCTCAGCCAAATTTTGCTGTTTTCTTCCTGACTCTTGCTAACTTCTTAGAAATTAAGAATTGTCTTAGGATGTGCAGTCCTGACTTGGTTCCCTTGTGCTGCATGTTGTAATGTGCTTTTAAGATACACTTTGTATCCATTGTAAAGTTTTTTCACTGCTGTGTTCCTAAATCATTTGGGAAAATCGGAGTGGCACAACGTCTCATGCTGTGTGACTAGTAATCATCATTACTTAGAAAAGATAAATTTGTCCTTATTTTGGTTTCCATCCTAAGGAATCCTTGTTAGTTGATTAAGATGCTTATGTTCTTAAGGGCCAAGTGCAACTTTTCTACTTTAGTATCTAATACCTCTCAGGCTCATAATTCTGGTTTTCTCTTTATCTAGGCAGTTCCCACTTATTGCTCAGTAGCCTTCTTATGCCAGTTCGACAGTCCAGTAAATCAGTCCCAGCTCTCTTGGAGTTTTTAGTTATTCTGTTCTGTCTCACTGTAGAGAGTCCCCTGGTGTTATACCCTTCCTGCCCATCCAGTTCCACCTCCGCTTTGCCATTTCCACTGCATCTGTCTCTTAGGCTTTCAAAAATCCCTTTTTATGATCTCATCCATCTTCTTTACATGCTCCCTTTGGGTATATGTACATACTGATGAGATCCCCCCTGAGCCACCTTCTCCAGGCTAAACAGTCCCAACTCTCTCAGCGTTTCCTCATATGAGAGATGCTCCAGTCCCTTCATCATCTTTGTGTCCCTTCGTTGGGCTCTCTCCACAGTGTCCGTGTCTCTCTCCTACTGGGGAGCCCAGAACCGGGCACAGCACTCCAGGTGTGGCCTCACCAGTGCTGAGCAGAGGGGAAGGATCACCTCCCTTGACCTGCTGGCAACACCCTTCCTAAGGCAGCCCAGGACACCCTTAGCCACCTTTGCGGCAAGGGCATGCTGCTGGCTTGTGTTCAACTTGGTTGACCCCCAGGTCCTGCTCTGAAAAGCTGCCTCCCAGCTGCTTTAACAATAAAAAGAGCATGCCTGACACACCATTCAGTTGACAAATTCTTGTTGGAGCTTTTCTAAAGTAAATAATACCTCAAGTTTTTTAATGGAACAAACTGATATTATTTTTTTTCCCCTGACTTTGCGCTTGGACGTTTCTGAACTTTCTTTGCTGAAAGCTTAAAAAGTACACAGCTTTGCTGTTCTGGAAAATTTCAGTCCTGATAATTAAAGTTTGGCAGAAATGAAAGAAACTGAAAATATAGTCTTAAAATTTGAAATCAGGAAAACATAGTAATAGGCAATGCTACCGATTTTAGTTATTCTGTTTCTATGGCAGCAACTTATTATGGCAGTATGCTTTATTTGAGATTAGTCTGAAAATAAAAATTATGAGATGTGAACATATTGAAATAAGAAAATAATTTATTGATTTATAAAAGCCATATTTAAATTGCATGAACAACTTTTTTGTTCTGTTCTAGGAAGAGTTTGAAAAGTTTGTGCTGTTTTTTATGAAGGCAATAGATTTTGCCACCCATGATCGAAGGTAAGCCCTGCTGATAGGATTAACTGTTTAAATCTCAGGAAATGTTACTGAGTTAGGTTTTCATAGTTGTTTGTCTCGGATTTTCACTAGGTAGTCTGGACTTTTGTTGTTTGGGTTTTTTTTGCTTTTGTGGATTTTTCTTCCATTTTGTTACTGCACTTCTGTAACTGCTGTGCATGCTGCAACAATATAAGAATATTGAACAGTCTTAAATAGATGGGATAAGTCAGCGTATTTAAGGCTGGTAGATATCTCTGAGCATTTCTTCCCCTTTTATATTTATGCTCTGCAGAAAGAGAGCACCATGTTAGCTTATTTTAAGTGGTTAATTACTGGACAGAGTGTAGTTGCAAGAGTTACTGTATTCTTGTGCGGTACTTGCATTCTCAGTTCTTAGTCAGGATTGGTTCTTATCTAAACACATAGGAAAAGTTCCAATTTGTGCTTCTTAGAAGTGTCTTAAAATACTCTGTCTGTAATTTTATGTTTATCTAAGTCCATGAAATACTGAATTCTTCATTCTTGTTTTTCAGATATTATTTTTTGATATATAATGCCTCAGTTCTTTATTGGCAACTTGTGAGGCCATATCTTAAGCCTGGATTCCGCTATTGTCTTATTCCCAGCCTTTATCAGATTGTTAAAGCCTTAAACCAAACTGAGGAGCAAGACAATGAATGGAGAGCAGAACTCATGATGTAAGTTTAATTAATGCCCCTACATATAGGCATGCTGTAGTCCTCTTGTACATGTGGCTGCCACCTCAGGTAGTCTTTAATAATGTATATTTCATTGGTAACATTGTAGATACATTTATTGTGGAAAGCTTAATTCATAACTCTTAAAGATACGTAAATGGACACTTAACATAAGAGGGGCTTCATTTCAGTATTTACTTTGAGGTTAAAATTTTAGTGGCAGAGGCAGTTAGGCCCTAGGTCCGATCTGAAGCATCACTGTCATTTTGGATGTAGTGTTTGAGTCATTGCATATGTTCAGTCCTTTTAAGTAAGGAGAAAGACAAACTCCTGTTTTCTTTAAGAACTATTTTCTTCAGGTAAAGAAACATAACCTTTAAATAGATAACCAAAGATCTCTTCTGTCCTCTGATCCCTGAAGAGAAAGGAACAGCCTGGTAAGGTTGTGAGAACATATTCAGGGTACCTTCTAATTTCCTCCTTCTTCGTATGAAGACTTCATATATATTGACCTAAGTTATCTTTCTTACTACTTTTTTCCTCTTGTTAACCCATAACTGTATGCTGAAATGAAACTTTATGAAAAATCAATGAGCAAAATAAGTAGTTGTATTGCAAATACAGCAATTAAGAATACAGAGATGATTCGTCATCAGTAGCGATGTGGTTTTTATATGTCAGTCACATGCTTTGATGTACAGTTTGGTACTGTGTGGTTCTTATCAATGTAGTTAGTTTAGATCAAGCTTTTTCCTTTCTAATTAGTATTATATCCAGTTTTGTTCAGTATTAAATTAAAGGCTGTCCCTGGTAATTTGGATATACTGCTTGGCCTAATGTTTCTAAGCATAAGTGAAATAGGTCTTCTTTTAACCAGTCTTAGGCAAAATAAGAACCCAAAAGTTATGAAAGGGAAAATAACTTGCATAAACAAGGCTTTAAGATTTAAACCAACAGGTTTTCTTTCTGGGAATTAATGAAGGGAAATAGACTGTTATTTGAGAGTTAAACCTCCCAACAAGGTGAATTTACACAATATCTTTAAGTATTATGCAAAAAATTTAGAATTAAAAGTCTAATAGTTTTTAGGGAAGAAATTAGTAATCTAGAGTTGGATAAAAATGCCTTCCATATTTATGTCTGTCATAACTGAAATTTGTCAACCAATTTAAGGTTTTATTTAGGAAATATATAGGTTTTTCTGCATACATACTGTTCAGAAGTGTGTATAGTGTAATTTACACTGAATTAAATAATGAATTATTGTCAGAATCTTTAAAAATTGATATTACACTGAAGACAATTCGTGGCTGAAGAAGTACGTTGTAGTTATTTTCCCCATTTCAAGGATGTTCTTATTAAGCATGACTGAAAGTCCTTATTACTTGTATAAGGAAATGAAAAATGCAACCTGATTAAATGTAATTTTAAAAGATAGGCACAAATACAGAGTTTTTAAATAGATGTGTAAGTTGTTACTTTCTGCTACAGCTGTTGGGTTTTAAGTGACTGAATAAATTAATACTTTTTGATACATTGCCTTTAAATACATTTTTCCATAATGAGAATAGCAGAAAGGTCCATGTTAACGTATGATACAATATGCTTAATTATCAGTGTATCTGTTGAAAATATCCTTGTTTGTTTGAGCTATGTATGAGTGGTCTCAATCTGACTTCCTATTGCATGTTGAACGGTGTGGATACGATGACACCTGCACGTTTATTTTTCAGACATCATCAGCGGGTTGTTCAGATGGTAGAATTTAAATATTTTTGTGTTTAAACATGGTGACCTCTGCTAAGAAAAAATACGTGTGAAGGAGTTTTCTTCAGACAGAGTAAAGGGTTTTAGCAAAATATTCTTGGAAATTATTTTCTTAGGAAGTATGGGATCCACGTTAAAAGATTAGTTTTCCTTGAATTCTTTAGAATGTGAGAGCCTTTGACAACGGAGGTTGATTAAATTGCTGGAGTTAACAGTCCTGGGTTATAACAAAGCATGCATTTTCTCAGTGAAAGGCCCCTGGTTCTGCCATCTTCACGGAACAGTTGAGGTTGGAAGGGACTTCTCAAGATCACCTAGTCCAACCCTCCTGCTCAAGCATCTTGGTACAATGTAGTTGATAGTTGTTGAGAGCAGTGTGCCATTTTTTTATGGAGTGGCTACATATATTTAAGGCTGATACTGGCTTCTTTTGAGGGCATGATTGTATAAATTACGTCTGTGCCCAGATTATTTTATCATGTTAATTAATCTAACTGAAAGGCTTAAATGATTAATTCATTGACTTAGATTAGAAGTGAAGCTAAGCAAGATTAAAATGGAAGTCAAAAAAACCCTCACAATCAGCGCAGTGCAGTATCGGTACTATTATATACATTTGCATTATTACCAATTATTTGATAATAATTTGATAATAATTGGTAATAAATGGTGTATCAATATCAATGTATTACCATTCGTACATTTCTTGAGTAAAGCTGGAACATAAACCTTGAGATATCTCTACTGAGAGAAACAGTTTTATGTGCAAAATGAAGAGCATCCATGTATTTTTTCAAGGTCAGACAGCCTTTTCTCAGAGATGTTTTGGTCTGCTATTCTGCAGACCGTTTCGAGTTCCTGTTACGCTTCTGCCACTGTTTTTTCCTTTCTCTTTGTGAACTTTTCTGTTTCTTTGGTCTATGACTGATGGTTTATTGCTATGCAGCATTTTCTTTATTAGCGGAAACTGGAGGGAAATAAAAAATTAAGTAACAAAACATTCCAAAGGGTATGCTAAAGGTTATCTAGAATACCGTGCATGCAGTTTTTTTATACCAAACGTACTCTTGCTGAGATATTGATGAGAACTAGCAAGTGCACACAATGTGTGTGTGTTATGAAACTAACGGTAGCATTTATTTTTTCTTACATTTGTATTTATTTTTTGAATAATTTTTATTGTTGTTGTTTTGAATTTATTTCATGGAATCACAGGCTATTTTTCAGTTAAATCAGATAAAGTATTGAAAATCCAGTAGATATGTTGCAGTTTCCAACCTGAATAGTTTTATTTTGCTAGATGGCTTTGAAATACTAGCTTCTCTAGTAGTTAAGGGACAATCTTAGAATACATCTCATAGACGTGTTTTTCTCATACAACTTTAAATAATTAATCATTTTAATTCCAGGTATCCCGTTGAGAAAAATTTTCACAAAAATCTCCTTTTCCAAGATTATTTTTGTGATCTGCAATAAATACATGTTAGCTGTGTATCTCAGGAAGAAACAAAGACATAGAAGCTAAAGGATCTCTTTCGTGTTGAGTCAATGCCTTATCGCACTAATTGCTTGTACTGCATTTAGGAGTGGTACCTTGAATATAAAGAGTCTTTTGAAAAAATACAAGTAAGAATTATTTCAAAAAGCATTAATAAATATTTAATACAAATATTTATTTGATCTGCAGAAATTTACTCGAGTGCTTCCTGGATGCTTCAAAACTGAAAGAAGCGAAAGAGTTTTCATGTACCGCAGCAATCTTTATTAAGGAAAATGTTCCAGAGAAATACTCTCAAATATTTTCTTTAATGGTAATGCTGTAAAATATTTTAAACTCCCAGTAAGACAGGAGCTTTCTGTACATTTCATAAAATCATAGTTATACTTGTTAAATATGTTGTTTCCTTCATTTAAGTTTTATGAGCTACAAGATACAGTAGATATGCAGAGATTTTTACAATTTGTATATTTTTGATACTATAAGCAAAAGAGCTCACTACTGCTCCCTGTTATTTTAATACAACATAACATCATCGGGATAACTGTTGCTAACCCTAAACATTCTGTATGGGAATAATTACTATTAACACAGAAGGTGTAGTGGGTGCAACTTAACCTGCTTTATGCCATTCAGGGCATATTTAGCATCTGTTGACTTTTCTCATGCTGCTAAATACTTAAATGACCCAACTTGAACCCTATAAATAGTTCTAGGAATCGGAGCATGTGACAGCAGTTCATAGTTCTTGCATGCCCTTAATTTGGGAAATAAGATGGTGAAGATGAATGTGGCAAAAGCAGAAATAGGCAAATAAAACTTGTAAGTTGCATGCAGTCATATTTTCTTTCATTCTGCTACACTATTGTCTTTTTTGTCCACTCCCAATCACTGCATTTCAAGAGCATAGATTTATAATATAAAGTTCTCCAACATTTGAATTAAGAGAACCAATATACAACCTTCCAGAGGTATGGTAGTAATGAAACAATAACATTTAGGCAAGGTTAAAATGACTTTTTTATTTTTTAGAGGCAGTGTTGAGCGAAGCTATTTGACAGTGGCTGTAAACAGAAGAATACAGTAGTTCTAAAATTGTACTTGGGCTATGTGTCTCAGCAGGGCTATAGAAGTCTGATCCACACTATTGAGTGCTTTAGTAACAGCATTATTAAGGCCTGCAAAACTTACTGTTCCAGTACAGCTTAAGTAATCAGTATTGATTGCTGTGGGCAGTCAGTGTGAGAGAGTCAGAAGAAATGATTTGCACACATTTAATGTGTAACTCTACAGTTAAATTGAAGTAACTACAGTTTATTGTAATTTCTTCATAATATTTTCTGTTATATATAATTTATAGTTACAGATAAATTTGAATAGGACTTATTTCTCATAGCTGGATGAGATGATTTCAGAATGAGTGTTATCAAAAGGTGTTATTAAAAATGCATTCATTAGAATTCTAACTCAGATGTTAGTTCCACATTTAGATTTCTGCTAATGCTTCTGATCCTCACTATGTGAAGATTAGCATAGCTGTACTAGGTGAACTTTGTGGTATCTGTGCAGAACAACATAGATTATTGTAGTAGCCTCACTGCTCTTAAAGTCCACAAAAAAGCCTACAGTCAACATACCTGCTTTATTTTAGCCCGGTTGAGTGTCTGTCCTTTGTTTGCTTATTCAGTCAATTAATAATTAAATTGTTATTTTATAGGTATATCACAAACTAATGGATATTTCCCAGGTAGAGAAGGAAATACAAAATTCCATCCATTTTTCAGTTATTTATAAAATGCAGATGTTAAAATTGTAAGTATTAAAATGTATTCTTCCACTTGTACTTTGATGCTTGATATTACAGAGGTAGGGTCAGGTTCTGGCATCCTATATGCCAGTAGAAAAATTTACTGCAAAGATTAGTTTCTCAAACGGAAAACTATAATGACAGTTTGGGTAGTAAGTGTCAGGCCTGTCTAGAGAACAGCCTCAGCTAAAAAGTGAAATAGTGCTTTCGGAATGTAGGGAATAGTGTGTTGTACAGATATTCTCAGGTGAAAGAATTTAAGAGATTGAAAGACATCTTTGTATCCAACAGATTCAGTTCAGTACACAACTTGTGTAAAAGAGTAAACATGAAATGGGGAAATCACACCTAAAATATAATGCATGAATCATGAGGATGGGAAGCATAATACTTTTAAAACTTTTAAAATTTTGAAGTCATAAAACAATTTTGAAAATTAGACTTCATAACAAAATCTCATGTAAATTTTCTTCAATGTCTCAACACTTCCCTATTTTAAAAATATTAATTATTTTCTTAGTAACAGGGGATTAATTTATGTTGACATTATAGGAAAGGAGTTTTGCACACCATTTTTCTTTGCTTCTGGAATAAAATTTACCATCTGAAATATTAATTCTTATGCTGGAATGTTCTTTGTGCTTCATATCTGGCTGTCTCTGAGTAACTTGCTTGGCATACTGAAGTAGGGTTTGTTGACTTGATTTTTAATTTTTTTTCCTTTGATATCTCAAAATCCAGGTATCCCACTGATGCATTGGACTAAGAGCCATCCATTCTATAGTTAGGAGAGTTATTTAAAATTTGTAATGCAGTAATATCTCTTGTGAAAAGATTATGATCAATTCCTAATATATTGCAGGCAGTGGGATACAAATGAATTTCCAAGTGATGCCACCGCAAATCTGCATTCTGTATATGAACTTCTGAAACAATATGATGTGCCTCCAGCATCTGTTCTCAGTGGGAGGTGAGTTTTACTTGTCAGAGCCCCGTGAAAGCTGATGCTGAAGCTGATCCTGCTTCCACTGAAGCCTGTCAAAATTCCTGTTGACCTTGAAGAGAGGGAGCTCGTACTTAGTTGTAGTAGTTTGTGTTGTGTTAATGCTTAGGTCATCTTAAAGACAGACGAAGATCCTATCAGGCTTTCTTGAAGAATCGAAGATTAAATACCTTCTTCCATATAGCTGTTTGTATAATGTGATTAAATTTTTCCATAACCCTTTGTTGTTGATAAAATGAGATTTTTAAAAGGTCTTAGAATTGACAAGTGCTTCTCAGACTTTAGTTCATTTTTAGCTTTTCTTGGGGACCTTCCCAATTCTTCAGCATAATTTTGAAATGCAGACTAAACTGAACTCTCTATTCCAGTAGTTACATCACAGCTGTTACATATGGAAATAATACTACGTTTTTACTTGTTAAGGTCAATGTTCTTTGACGACATTCAGGCATCTGATTACTTCTTCTGTCCCAGACAGTACACTATGCTCATTCGGTTATTTACGAAGATCCAAACATTTAGAACACAGTCTCCTACTGTGTGTGTTCTGTGTTCTTATCTTATCCATCTGTGACCAATGGATTTGAGTGTTTTAACTTCTGTGCCAATTGACTGCATTGTATTTACAGAATTACCCACAATCTTCGTTTGCTATTTCACAATCTTTGTGCTGCATACATTTCATTCTGTATTTTTTATGTTCTTCAGGAACTGTTTGTGCAGGACTACAGTGGAAGTATACTAATTATTTTCCATAAACAGATGAACTTCTGTATTTTTCATGTAGCCAACTTTAATCTTTTTCCTTTTTCCTTGTTAACTGTAAGCATTACTAGTATAATCATGTCCTCTAATATTCAGATGACTTAAAGGTTTTCAGATATATTGCACAAAGTAACTTTCATATAGTGTTTTTCTAATTCCATAAAAGAGCAATATCAGATTTTCTGAAGTGATGTTTTTCTATTTTGGAAGGATTCCTTTGATTCTGGAATTAGCTCGTTTTTCTATGAAAGTGAACTGCATTAAGGTTGCATATGATTGTATACTTGATTTGAAGAGAGCTGGGATTACTGTAAGTATTAATTATGGTTGATTTTCTTTTTTACAACACCTCCTCCCCCCGTTGTGATTATACTTCAAAAATAATACTGATGGTTCTGGGATCTTCTGTCCATCACTATATTGTTTATATATTCATTAATATAAATAATTACTTGGATAAGTGATCTATTCCTAAACTAGAGAGAAGATGTAAGGTCAGAAGGTAAGGTATAGGTAGAACAGGGTAATTAACAGTGCAGTTAGTTTTGGCAAATAAATGTTAACTGTAAATTTTTGCCTATGTTTTTTAAATGTTATCTGTGGAACAGTTTGATTGGAAGTTAAATGCTGCCTGCAGGTTTTGAAGATTTAACCAGTTTACCCATTGAGATTGTAATTGGTCACCAAGATGTAAGCTCTAAAAACAGTTAATGTTACCTACATTCACTTTAGTCTTTATGAGTACCATACCAACCTTGCAGAACAGCACATGAATTCTAATTTTGATGAGGAGAAAAAAGAGCATTTGTCTGGAGCATGATTAGGGGACTGATGGAAGGAGGAGTTCAAGAAAGCTTGCCAAAAGTAAAGCCCCAAAGTTGTTATCTTTTCTGGAAAGTAGGACTTAAGCAATATAGTTCTCTCATTGCAGTGAGAAATCCAGAGATGTTGTGCCACAAACTGCACTCCCTAATCCTTTCCTTTGTGTGGATCTTTTCTGATGCTGTTTGTTCCTATATATTTCCCAGTTTCCTTTAGTAGGAACGATTCATTTTCCAGCAAACTATTATTTGATTTGTTATTTACTAACATTTAATAATTTTTACTCTTCCGCAGTATTTTTATTATAATGTTAGAGTAGGGGTATTCTTAGATTAAAATTTTAATCTGGTCTCCTTAATAACTGATCTTTCAATGTGTATGCCCTTTTTGATTCTTACGTCCAGCTGACTCTGAGATTTGTTTTTTTCTGTTCCTTCCCTGTTGTGGTGGTTTAACCCCAGCCAACAACTAAGCACCACACAGCCGCTCACTCACTCCCCCCGACGGTGGAATGGGGGAGAGAATTGGAAGGGTAAAAGTGAGAAAACTCGTGGGTTGAGATAAAAACAGTGTAATAATTAAAAAGAAATAATAATAATTTTAAGGAAAAGAGGAGGAAAAAAAACCCAGAAAAATAAAACCTAAGAAAAGGTAAGCGATGCAAATGAAAACAATTGCTCACCACCAACTGACCAATGCTCAGCCAGTCCCTGAGCAGTGCCCTCCCTGCCAACCTTCTCATTCCAGTTTTATTGCTGAGCATGACATCATAAGGTCTGGAATATCCCCTTGGTCATTTGGGGTCGGCTGTCCTGGCTGTATCTCCTCCCAACTTTTTGTGCACCCCCAGCCTGCTCACTGGCAGGGAGGTGTGAGAAGCAGAAAAGGCCTTGACTCTGTGTACGCACTGCTCAGCAATAACTAACACATCCCTGTGTGAGCAACACTGTTTCCAGCATGAATCCAAAACATAGCGACGTACCAGCTACTATGAAGGAAGCTAACTCTATTTCAGCCAAAACAAGTACACCTGTTGAGAAACAGAACTGTTCGTCACTGTATTCAGAAAATCAGTATGTTTTTCGGGTACAAAAATGTATGAAAAAGTGCCTGGTTGTGTTGTGATCACCATGAGTAAGTTTTTAGTTATCTGAAATGTGCGTGTAAAGAAATATAAGTGGCAAACACTGCCAAACACATTTTGAAACATATTTCCAAATTTCTATTATAATGATCCTACTTTGATTTACTTGTAATTTTTACTTATCCTCAATGAAATTTTTTTATTCCAGGTGTCTGCTTCAGGCTTATTTTTTCTCAAGATTTCCCGCAAGTCTAAAATCATACACAATTCTGTAACATTCCGCTGGAAGATATGTTTAAATCCCCTAGATCAAAGATTCACAAGGATTTAGATTGAGTATTTGTATAGACGCTAATAGCAAGTATCCCTACTGTGGCAGCAGTAGAGAAGCCTTGCTTCTATTTCAACCTTCTTGTTTCCCTTAGAGTTAGTGGGTGTTTAAGTGACCAACTTCAGATTGCCCAGCATCATTTTGACAGTGACCTCTTCACGTTAGAGTGAGAGAAATCTGTATCAAGTTCCAGTTCCTTGGCTTTTGCTGAATACTGAGAGATTTTTCAGCCATAACATGAATTCCATCTCTCTATGTATTTGTCATTACATGATAGTGGCAGTTCTACATTCATCTAAGTTTTTCAAGATCTCATCTGTTTTCTGGTCATGGGGATGTTAAATTAACAAAGGTCATGCTGAGTGATTCAAGAATAGTTCATAATGAATGAAGATGCTGCCTCTTGCCCTACTGCACCATATGAAACCAAATACAAAGTATCTTAGATGATCCATACGTATAAATTGTGTGATTTAATAGCCAGATCTTTCTGGAGGTGTTAAAGATTTAACCTGTTTTTTCACTTAAGAATTGCACTGCCCATCAAGATGAATCCTTTCTGTTGTGACTAGCTCTCATTTATTCCAATCATGTACCTTTTTAATAACGTTAGTGAGCAAGAATTTACTAGGACTGCTTGCACCTTTGGCTTAGTAAGAAGTGACTACTGTTGAAACAACAAATTCTACTCCCTTTTCATTGTTTCAGTTAATTAACTAATATAGTGGGATTTTCAGTAAGAAAGTACAGTGCTGTATTAGTGTAATTGCATGAGTTTAATCTTCTTTTTGTTCCTTTTTAATTACTAAAATTAGTGTTTTCTATATTAATACTTCCTAGGAGCAAGGGAAACTTATTGAAATAGAATGCCTGGAATGTGAATATGAAATAAAAAAAATTGGGACTAAAATTATGACTTATACCAAAGGAGTCGTTGAGGTATGTTCTTTAAGATTAACTTTGAGAGAGAAGTAAAAGTTTTAATTTGTTAAATGTGGAAAATTACATTTCACTTGTGTGTCTTAATTACATTATACTAATCAGAAATTCTTTTAAATTTTATATTCTTTCTAATTGGACTGCCAAGAAGAAAACAGGGAAAAATAAACAACAGTTGTATATTCTTCCCTTAAGTCTTCTGTCTGACTATAAAGGTTCATAATATATTACTTTCCAAGAGTAAAGATGGTAGCATTGAGGCATGCAAAGGCAACACTCTCTTGTCTCCATATTTTATATTTATGGGAGGTGTTTTCATAGAATATCTCAAGTTGGAAGGGACCCATAAGGATCATCGAGTCCAACTCAACTATTATTGCATGTTATGGGTGATCTCATACAGATTCTTCTGTCAGAGGAATGCAGGTTATTCCTGATAAATTGTCACACTGGGGAGGATTTTCTTAGATTTCTATAGTCAGTTGACTCAGTTATAATTCAGACCATCAAAAGTAGAAGCCTAAATTGTCAATATTATCAATGGGATTAGATAGATGCCTACAATGAGCAATTTAGAACAGCTAATAGAGGCACCTGAAGTTCCTAAAATAGGAAGTATGAATATGCTTCCTGGAAATTGATAGTGTTAGTGCATAAACTTATCTACAACCGTTCTCATTTTGGAGTTCAGGAATTCCATTCACGTTTTGAAAAAAAATTTTCATTGATTCCTCATAATATGAAACACTACTAATACTGCTTAAATAAAAAATAGGGTATTTAGATATTTAGGTATTTCTAAATATTCCTACCACAGTGTATGCAGTTGGAGAAGTTTTTTGTTTGTTTTTTCTTTTTTTTTTTTTTTTTAATTGCACAACCTCTAAAAAGAACTTAATAATTAGCGGGTGTCTGTTACTGTAGGTAAAGATTTGCTTTTAGATTTAATAGGAACCAAGTTTAATTGACAGTATGGCAAACCCCATTCATAATATTTCTTTTTTTCCTCTCCTACACTGCATTTGTCACTTAGCATAAAAATGAAAAGAAGCTAAGCCTTCTGAATTCACAAATGTTTCACAATTATCAATTTCTGCTTATCATAAGAAAGGGGTATAGCTGACAGCCTTCTGCCTGAAGTATGTAGTAGTAGCATGGAGTACCTAAAAGAAATACTCCTTAGTTATCAAAGCCTATTTTAAAAAAAAAAAAAGTTTTTATTAAAGAAAGTATTTTTACCAAAAATTTATTTAAAAAAAAGTTTCCGCAGTCTGCTGGCTGAGGGACTGCTTTCTATTGGGAACAGCCCTAACATTAAAATTTGGAGGAATGTGTAAGAAGTTGTGTTCATTAAATGCGATATATGCTAATTAATTTTTCATTTGTGTAGGCTCAGCTGGAATTGATAAAAAATCTTGAGTTAACCTTAAAACGTGCAGTTCAATTGGGAGATCCTGATGTGATTCAGGTTGTTTGTACAACCCAGTGGAATCTGTGCTTGCCACTACTACAACACAATTTGCATCAACGTGTGCGAAAGCCATTGATAGCAGTTGCTGATGTCCTTGAAGAGATTGACAGGTAACTTTCTGTGCTGTGTACTTTTTTTATTTTTTACTTTGAAAGGTCTAATGACTGAGCATCAAACTCATTTAAAAGCTCGAGCTCTATGATGTTAAGTGTCTTTGAAAATTTTCCACTATCTTGTAATAAATTAACATCTGTGTATTGCATATATTTCCTTGTTAATCATTTAAATATAGGTTCCTTTCAGGCAAAATCTCACACTGTTTAATGACCTATAGCAAATACTGACATTTTTTAGGAACTGAAAAATACTATAGTTAATCAAAATTATGTGAGAAAATTCCAAAGCTGCAGTATGAGTAAATGTGTTGGAATGTGGTTTAGATTCTTGTATTAACATCACTTCTGTTGGTTAAAAACATACAATTAAAAAATTACTTTTAAAAACCATCATGACTTCTGTATTACCTATCAAATAAGACACCTCTTGCAAGATACTATTTTTGTATCTTCGGTGATCCTTCTTTTTAATTGAAAAAACTACTGTATTAAGAAAATGTATAGGGTTTTTTAGATGTATTCTTCTGTTTGCTGTTATGCTGTACTTAACCTTAAGCACCTAAATAGCTTCGCTTTTTCCGTTAATTTGAGTGGAACAAGTAAACCTTAGTATGTGGTACTTAATTAAGTTTGGACCTATACATAGGCTGAGTACTAAGAATAAAGATCGTAACTTTTGTAGTAGAGCTAGTTACAATCGACATAATCTGTCATTTGAGCAGAACGGTAGGTGGTTTCTGATAAAAGTATTAGAGAGGAAGGTGAGGAATATATTTTCAGTGTTTTTAAAATGTGATTTTTTTTAGTTGCATAAGGAGGAAACAGAAGCCTGAAGAAGCAGATATACAGATGTATAAAACCACAATATTGTATTACTGTACTGTTATTCAAGCATTTCTTATGCTTTCCATGTAAAGAGTGCAATATCAGCGTATGTGACTTTGATATTTCTACTAAATCTCAGTAATGACATTTTTTCTCTAAAAGCTTGCGGGTTAGGTTTTGGGGGTAGGGTTTTGGCTTTTGTTGTCCGTGTATTCCTAACAATCCAATAGACTCAACCTCAGCTCTGAGGTGGTACTGTTACTAGAGATTGAATGGCATCACTTGTCCCTATTAATTTGCCTGTCTTCATTTCTGTTTTGATTGTAGCATTGATTGTAACTACTTCCGTCAGCACTAAAAGGGCAATACTTGCTCAGTCAGGTTAGCTCTCATGTGGACATACATTAGCTCTTTGGCATGACATTTGACAGCCTTGAAAACCTTCCTTCTGTTCTGTTTTTCATAACATTGCTTTCATTTATCTGATTTTTTGTTTTTCTTCCTGGAAACAATCTCAAGTAGCATGTAGAGCTCACAGCTGTCATGAACAGCTTCCTGGGGCAGGTGATGGATAGGGAGCATAGTGTACCTGAGACTGGTGAACATGCAGTCTTCACTGAAAACATGCTGACTTCATAGAGTGGTTTCAGCAACATCTGGGCAAAGACACTGCGTACAGTGAGTGTGTACGCCTACAGTGAGCCAAATCTTTAAAAGTGATGAGCTAGTGCAATCAGGGCTAGATTTTTAGAAGTGTTAGCTTCAACTTAAATGTTACGAATAGAGAGTGAACTTATATCACAAGTGACCATTATCCAGTACATTGGGCTCTCTCCGAGTGTTAATGAATGCTTTTGAAAATCTGTTCACTTGATTTGCATACCTAAGTGGTAACTTCAGTGTGGTACTGAAAAAGAGTTCTGCTAATACACAAAGAGCCGTTCATCTGCAAGATGTGTTGCTTCCTCATGGCTGTGTTTTCTCATGCAGGGTTAATGGAAGTAAAATGCAGTTACATTTTCTAAGTCATTTCATTAAAAAGACATGATAGTGAAAATGAGTGACAAGTAAGTTCAAAAGGGAATATCGATTTTCATACTGGAGTCACTTTTAAATATTGAGTTTCACTTTTGGGTAATTTTTATGTCTAAGGATTTTAGTTTGCCTCATTTTAACAGTTTATATTTAAATTCATATTCCTTAGCATGTTGATTTTGTTGCGTTGCCAAGTTCATATGGAAATAGCTCGTATTGAAGAAGATGGGGATAGAATAGACGCTGCTGTGGAACATTTGCAAAAAGCTATACATCTGAACCACGGTGGGCAGTATCAAGAACATCTAAGACTGACTTTTAACCGTCTTCGTTTGTGCACTGTGCTGTATAAGTCACCTGAGCGTCTAGAAGATCGGGCAGTAATGATGATTGAACAGGTAATCATGAGGAATAAGGTCAGTAGCTGAAATAGGTTTGCTTATTAAATTCTGGCAGAGGAAAGCCAGCTGTTTAGTAGAACTGCATATTAGAGCCAGCATTAGCTTGCCTTCAGCAAATTGGCATTGATTGGTTGCCTTGAAGAACTCTCTGAATTCTCTCTACGGTGGTCATGCTGCTTCACGCTCTGAAGATTACAATAGAGGATTTTTTCCAGTTGTGTTCAAAGCTTATTTCTTGCGGGGGAGGGGAAGTTATTAATTAGCAAAAATATCAGCAAAAAAGAAGCCTATTCATAATTGTCAACAATTAAGATTTCATTGCATGGAACAGTGTTTTAATTAATGAGGGGAGTAGTGGCCAAATAGCTCAACATCCTATCTGGCTTTGATATAAATCAGTTTTATGTCATACTTACAAATGACGCTAAATAATATAATCTAAAGTCACAGTGTAGTCATTGTCGAGAGTTTTTCCATCTAATTCTGTTGTGGTGCCTCAGCACCTGAACAAAAATCATATTGGCAACTGATTGTTAGTTGGTTAAAAGAAATTTCAGCTATACACCATTTTGGGATATTCACAGAAATTAAGACGTGTTCACTGAACCTAAAATCACCACTGGAAAGCTGCTGGTGCGTTGATATGTCTATTGTTAAGACAAAGAACAGTGAAGATTTTTTTGTCAAGTTTTAATGCCTTTCCATGCACGCTTACTCTGTTTAAATGTTATTTTAAAAAAAGCACTTATACCTCCTCTGACTTTGGCTAATTCTGAGTGGACTAGGAATTTTTAATATTTTGTAGCAATTCTTAGTTATTGCACAACGGATATGTTATTGTTGGTTTCTAAGTAAATACTGTTCTTTATTTAAGAAAGTATAACATAATGACAGGTTATACACTGAGGAATATACTGTAAAGATCCATGAGGCGCATGAACAGTACTTTGTATTCAGTCATCTTTGATGTATTCGTGTCACGATCAAAGTTCCACAGTCACTTTCAACAACAATAATACTGCAGTGATGTGTAAGATATACAATCCCTAGAGGTATTTTTTTGGTAGTACCAAATTCTATGACCTGCATTCTGTTATGTTTAGTAAAAAGATAAATAAATAGGAATATAATAACAATGAACCTTATAACAATTAGTTCTTTTCTTTATGTAGGCTAAAAGGGGAAAGCAGAAGGATAATGTGAGGAAAAAGAGGTCCCTTCTGGTAAATGCAGGTCTTGCACTAGCTCCTGATTCATTTCAGATTGTACTTGGCAGTGAAAATGAAGCTAAAGGTAAGGTACGTATGTGTGACTAAAAGTTACTACACTTGACTTTGACTGCTTTGCACAGTCTTAAAGGTTGGACATAACATCGAGTGGCCACATGTAGAGAATATTGCAGTACAGGTGAAGTGACAGTTCTGCTGAATTCTGTGGCAAAGCTCCTATTGGTTTCATTAGGGATCTAAGATTTATATTGTGATACTGGAACAGGAATTGTCATTGTTTTCCCCTCTGAATTCATCTGAATCTTATTGCTGTGCTGTAGTGTGCTGTAAGTGGTGCTGTAATTTTATTTTCACTTTGTGCAACTTCTGAATGCTCTTACCCAAGGTCAGTTTTAAGTGGTATTTTCAGAAGTTTCACCCCATAATATTCTGTGTTAATTACATACAATATTGGGTATTCATTCTATATTGTAATTGTCTTTCTAGTCTAAAATCTTGCTTTTGAGAGATCGAGTTCTGCACAGAGATATAGCCATGAATACTTTATTTACTTTCTAAAACATGGATCATAAATAGGCATGTTCCTTATGCCACAAACAGCTTTGGTTTGTGACTATACAGCCTGTTGTTGAAGAAGAGCAGACAGGGAACAGATTTTCCAGGTTGCTTGAACTGTTTTATCTTATCTTGGCAATAAAGCAAGTGTGTGACTAATTTAACTAACTTTCTGAGTATACCCAGGGTACTCCCAGGGTAGAGATTATGCTGGAGGAAGGGAATGCTACAGAAGGAGTCCTGTAGCTTCCAAAGCAGCCTGTTCATGCCGTGGAAGCCCATGCAGTTCTCTCATGCCATCTGTTCTGTCAGGCCAAAATGTTTACCTTGCATATTCTCATTTCAAACTTGATCAATTGGTGACTTGCAAGTACGAGTGTTATTTACAGAATCAACAATCCCACTTCGTGCAGTATATTTAAGTATGTGAAAATGATTTTGTTGGAAAACTTCTTCATACATGATTTAAGGTGATAAAATGCATTGTATTTGTGCAATGAAGAGAATTAAAAGCATGCGTGTATTTCTACTTGCTCTTGAATTTTGAGTGGACAACTGTAAAATTATATCCAAACTTCCTCAGAATAAATCTTACTACACATTAGCCTTCCAAGATAACCCATTATAATGAGTGAGATTATCACAATATTACAATTATTACAATACTTTCTATCTGTTTGGCACAACATTTTGTAAAATTTTGTTTCAAAAGATTTCAGTTGTTCCTGAAGCTGTCATCCAAAGAGTTGAGTTTTTTGCTTTTTCCATGACACTTATGTTACAACAAACTTAAACATGTTCATTGAAGGAGTAAGAAATTATATATGCAACTGTATTATTAAAATATACATAGGACAGGACATCAGATTCGTAGGGTTATTTTTTTCTTTTAAGTTGCATAAATAACTGTGCATCAACATTTCATTCTTTTTTGATGTATATGCTGGCCTAATTTAGTGAGAGTTGTACCCATAGATCCGGAGAACAATGTACTTTTTTAATCCACCATTCTTTACCCTACAACCTTACATGATATTACTGTCTTTATGTATTATACTGAACAATTTCTGTCAGTTGATCTATGTGCATAGTTAGGTAACACAGCCTTATCATATGCTGGATAATGCATTGCAAAATATTTTTAACAGGAATGGTAAGACACTATGCCTTCCTCTTTTCATTGTAAGTGAATGTAAGTGAACCTGCTTTTATATATATATTTTAAAGCCAGAAATACCGTATATGTATTTGCTGCTATTATTTGGCAAATTTTTTGAGGATCAAATTAAAACTTCCTCAGTCTGCATTATGTTAGGGGCCATCGCTTAGATTCAAGTGAATGTACAAAGTCATCGGATTTCCCAGTCACATGAAGTTACTTGTATTCTATTGCAGAACATCTCCTCTATGCCATTACGCTGCAAAAAATAATCTCTTTTTGATGTATCTGTACCCACTGGAGTAATTTTCTACCTCAGGGAGTCGGCTTGTTCCTCCCTTGCATAATTTTTTTGTGTTGATTATTCTTTGTTTAGTAGTTTTGCCCAATATCTTGTTGACTAAGTAAAACAAAAGTCAGTATTCTCAAATTAAAACAGAATAACAAACTTTAATATTGATTGAAAATGTGTTTGGTTAGATAAGTGTTCTTAAAATTCAGCATGAATGTGAACTTTACATATTACTTCATCCATTTACTCTTGACTGAGGCTAATTAGAGCAATGCATGTCCTGTCAGAAAAGAGGTGTACTTGAGATATTTGGGGGCCAAACAAGCATAAATCAGTTTTTGTATGGGACAACTATATCTGAAGATACAGGAAAAACAGAATAGATGCTGGCCGGGTGTGGTTTCTTTCATGTGGGTTGGTTGGTTTTGGGAAAGCTTAAAGGTCTGAAAAAAGGGCTGGATTTCAAGTGTTTCAGAAAGTAGTTATGAATCAAATTGCATACCCTTCATGTGGATTTTTTTACCTCTTGTGCTTAAAAATTACCTTAAATTCTTTTTTCTTTGCTAAGTTTCCTCAGGTAAAAGTAGGAGTCAAATAAGCTACCTCTGTGCAAAAGCACAACATCATATTAAAAGTGTGGAGAAAGTCAATGAACATTTGAAACACGTAAGAAATGAAAATGACAGAGAGAGGTAATCACTATAGACAAGAAGCGTCTCTTTCATGTTGTGTGGAAGTCTCTAACGGCAAAGCTGCTTATTGCAGCTGTTAAGTTACTTGGTGATACCTTGTAAGAGGCTGAATACTTCAGTCAGACCTGGCAGAGCATTTAAGCATGTGTTTAACTTCATGACTGAAAAGTTCCATTACCTTCACATGCTATGCATAATTGTATTCTTTCACTGTTTCTAATCTGCTCTCTCACGTGCACACGTAAACTCACGTATTCTATTGATATGAACTGAACACACAGATGAATGAGTGAATTAGGCTGGAAGACTAAGTAAACTTGAGGTACAATTGAAACTTTGCTGAAGTGTCTTTTTAGGTCCTTGTACCACGTTGCATGCTACAACATTTTTGATAAAGAAATTAAGTAGTCCTTTCTGAGAGTCAGAAAGAATCTGTAGGAAAATCACAGGTTTTGTTTTGACTATTTGTATATCATTTTCTTGTTCTTTATTTAAAAGGAGGTGTTTCCTTTTTTTTGCTGCACTAAAAATTCCTGTGATGAAGTTTAAACTAAATTGTTTTCTAAAAAATTCTAAATCCAAACTTGTTTTCAAGACTTAATTTGAAATTCGCAACATCAGTTTTGAAATATTTAGTTTAGTTTATTTTATAAGATAGATAATCACGGGTGTGACACACATTTTGAAATTTCAGTATAGTTACTATCCAAAACAAGAATTTTGTTCCACTCTCGCTATGCTGAGGGATTTATTTTTTTTTTTAATTAATAAAGTAATAGTGTTATCTTTGCTCGTAAGAAGTCTTCCATTTATTAATTTTTATTAGATTTAAAATTTTATTTATAGTGGCCATCATTATTGACATGATTTTTTTGTTGATCCTGAAGTGTGGAAGGTAATCCTGTTTATAACGTAATTTTATGTATGCTTTTTCTTTGGTAGAATTATACTTTGGGCAGACTTGGCAAAAGTTGCACGTAAACAAGAAGTATGGGATGTCTGCCGCGCAGCATGCAGATTTTGTCTCTTGTATGATGATACTTTGTTTAGGAAGGTAACAAAACCTAAAAAAAGTAAGTGAACAAATTATTTTGAATGTTGTAAGAGAAACTTCTTCCTCATTTAATAGAGTTACTTGAAGAAGTCAGCCAATATTATTATTTTCTTCCCTCCCATTCCCAGAGTTCCCTGAGACTCTTGTCTGTCACTGCGTGTTGGCATACATGGGATGTTCTTTCTACATCTGAATCTAGAAATCAGTCAATACATTTTTCTGTTGAAACCATACTTTGCCTTCAGAAGTGTTTCATGAGTGCTAAAGAAAAGTATTTATGTGAAATGTATCTACCTATCTAAGAAAATAGGTTAATTCCCTAATGGTCATCTAGGTCCATATTATCCATCTCTGTCATACCTGAGGAAGCTGAAGAAAAACGGATTATCAGTTACTTTGTATGAGGCTCACATGGTAGTATTTTTTACCCTTTATTCCCTTATTAGCGGTTCCTCTGAGGTATTTGACGTTGTTTGTGCCTTGTTCCTTGAGGGTCTGCTGAAAACCTACCGCGTGTGTTAAGAGTTCTCAACTCAGGGAGAGAGCACTTTCAAACCACTAGCTGCTTGCTGACTTTTACATATCTCTGTTGAAGTTTTTTTTGCCTGGGAGTTCGTAGAACTCGCCTTTAAGAATAGATGAAATTCTAGTACACACCCTGTTGGCTGTTTTTTTTTTCTCTAGTCAATGTTAATTGCACCTATTCCACATTTTTTTCTCTGGATTGTCTCCAAGGTCCACTTAAAGTAGGGCATTAATTTACCTATTTTCTTTGAAAAGTTTTGCATCTCCAGACTAGCCATGTTTCATCTTTCAGCTCTTTTGCAAAGTAAAGGGAAAAAGAAGTACTTACCAGAAACTCAGGGCAACCGCACGCCAAAAGCGTCATTAATAGGAACTGGTATGTTCTTTTTTTCTTTCGGAAGTTTTGCATCTCCAAGGTAAAGGTGTCTTTCTCATACTCTGAATCTTTACAGGGTTTATATTCTGTCTGTGTCAGTCTAAACACTTTTCCTGCATAGGCAGGGGATCAAGACGCTTTTCATCTCTGTTCAGAAGTGTTTCGAATGGTTCAATCAAATTTTGTTACGAGGTTGCTGAAGTTGGTTGATGCTTTCAGAGGTAGAACTTCACTAGAAATCAAACAGTAACTGTGACCTTGCTGAAGGTTTCCATTCTCAAGAACTGTAGAATGGCCTCCTGGAAACCCATTCATACTTTCATTGAGTGCTGCATGTTTCTGTAAATGCAAAGGAAACAATGCTGCATTTGGTGGAGCAGTTGAGGTAATCTATTCTGGGCAGTTTCTAACTGTGGGAATACTACTTGTGATTAAATGAAATGCGAATAAGCTTGTAGATACTCAAGGCAGGAAGACAAATTTACGATTGACTGGAGTTCTCTGAGAACTGTTGGAACCATTCATTTTCATATTCCACTTAATTTTTCTTTACTACTACTAATTCTAGCATTAGTGGGTGAGAAAAATGAAAGGTTGTCTTTATATATATATCATATTGAGGATAGGGCAAAGATAATTGTAGTGTGAAGACCGTCTACAGAGGCTTGCTGGGTTGTCAGGCCTGAATAAAGGCAAATAATTCAAGACGTTCTGGAGTTACAGGAAAAGAACATACCAGTTCCTATTAATGATGCTTTTGGTGCGTCGTTGCCCTGAGTTTCTGATAAGTACATCTTTTTCCCTTTGGTTTGGAAAAGAGATGAAACATGGCTAGTCTGGAGAAAGTAAATATGTGTGATTCATCTAGGAACCAGGAGCAATCCAGTCAAGTTATCAGACTGTAGGTTTTAAGACAACAAAACCATTACTTTTTAACAGAAATTAAAAGGTTATTTTGGAATATCAAAGTATGGTTTAAAAAATTAGACAAAGACTAATAAGCTATAATTATTGAACGGTATTGAACTCGATGGGTCAACAGAAACTCTGGTTCAGGAGATTGCTTGGATGCAGATTCTGAAAAACTGAAGATAGGTCAGGAAAAAAAGTAGCTTTGTGTATCCTACTTTTTATGCCTTTCCTCAAACACCCCCTATTGGCCAACAATGTAGAGGGAACCCACTATGACAGCTTTTATGCTCTTACTTTGTGTTTATATTAAAATAATCTTGGTCCTTCACCATTAAACCAAAGAAAAATAATGCTATTTTTCTCTTTATTGATGTGTATGTTGCCAGAAAGTCAACCCCATCCATGATTTAAACACACTGAGATTTTAGCCATTACATAATGTCCAACACTCTACTTCCATTGAAGCAATAAAATTGAACTAGAAGCCATGGGTTATATTCATGTTATACCTGGAGCAAGTTATTTGCTGCAAATACTGAAGTTTACGCACAAATGCGGCAAAATCACAAGTAGCCAATACCTCAGCACTGCTTCAAAAGAATGGGTCTGCAATAAACTGTACTGATGGAAAAAAGAAATTGAGTGAAATAATTCTAAATCTGTACTTGTTAACTCTTTCTTGTGGATTTAAGAATGTGTAGGGATTTTTAAATTTGAAAATGAAGGCGTTTTTTTCTGATTTGCATGGTAATAATAATGTATTTATTTATTTACTTATTTATTTTTAGCACAGAGGAAGAAAGCTAGTACAACTATGATGGATGATGACCAAGGTGACAGCTTACCAGGAGAATCATTACTACCTGCTAAATCCTTCTCTTTTGAAAGAGATTTACTCAGAATATTAGCAGAAATAAGATTCATTAATGCAGAGGTAAATAAATTACACAGCTGTCATTCATATTTGTTTCATTTAGCTTTGGTTTATATATACTTTTATGCATACATCTTAAAGCACTGGAATTTTGAGTTTAATTACTTTCTATCTCCAAAGGAACTAAAGGAAGAAGTAATTTCATGAAGCATCTTTATCAAAATACTATGTGAAAGTTAACTATAGCAATAGTTTCACTGCAGGTGGTGATAACGCTTTTTTACAAGGGATTCTATTGTAAATGTTTGACATGTGACATTATATTTCTGGATCCTTAAAGTTCCAGCATGACTAAAAATACATATATCTATAAAAAAAATTTTTTTTCTTTCCTCAATGAAATGATTTAGTAAAATTAGCTGTAGACAATTGGAAGATTATGAAGTATTTTACATTGTATTTCATATAGTTGTACATGCCTGTAAACATCTGAAAAAACATTTTGTATTTTTTAATTTTTGAAGAGGTAACAACACTAATACTAAGTCACAGTCTATTTTCACAATGATAACCTGGGTAGAAAATTAATTTTTCTGTATCTTTCCAGGCAACTGTTCATTTATTAAGATTGCAGGGAGTTGAACTGAATGATCATGCTGTACCTCCAGAAGATACAAGCCAGTATCATCCAGGATATGTTTCGTATCTTTCTGAAAGTGATCCAGAATGGAAAACATACAGGTGCTTTTCTTTAATATGTAACAAGACCTAGGAACTCTAACAGATTGTTATCATCACACACAGATGATAATTGCACAATTTATTTCTTCTTAGTAAAACTCATTGTCACCAGATGCTTCATATTTTTAGGTAGTCATGGTAATGGGAAAAGGAAAAGACTCTAAAAAAATAATTTTAAATAATTGTTCTGTAGTTTGCTTTCATTCTGGAGTGTGTATTTTATTTTGCATTTAACACATATTTCTCTGAAACTAGAAGCTAGTATCCCAACCTTAAAAACTATTAAGTCTGTGTTCTACTGACATTTAGACCATGAAATTCTATACTTAAAAATATATTTCCCCAAATCAAAAAACTCTTTCTCTTGCTTTATAGCGCCTGTAACTATAATGATGTCTGAGTACCCGAATACATACAATTAATTACTTCAGTTTGCAAAACTAGTCTGGTCCAAGCAATCAACTGAAATGAGTAAGGGAGAGTAGAACATAGCAAGTATCGTTTTTTTTCCTGGTCTCACACAGTTATTTCTTGCGAAGGAGGAGAGGGGGGACAATTCTGAAGATGATATTTAATCTCTCTTCTGTTCACATTCATACTGATATTAGCCTTATTGTGACAGTGGTCATGTCCTGAAAGAGTAGGATGTCAGAGTTTTGTCCCTAAGTCTGTTCATTAAGTCTGAAGATTAAGTAAAGTTTCTCACACTGTCTGCTTGCAAACATTCAGTAAAATGGGAAAAACTATAAACTGATCAGGACCAAGGGACAAAGAAGATGAGGATTGTGTTCGAAAATTTGCTACTAAGCTGTTTTTACCCAATTAGATTAAAAACTCGTAGGAAAAAATCACTTCGGTCCACTGTGTCCTGTACCATTGTTGACATAGTAATACCCTGTGTCAGCTTGTGCTTTAGGTTTTGTGACTTAACCGTGGCCATTCTGTATGGTCATTCAGGACTATTTTTAATATTGCTTTTTCTAAGTAATGGTACGTCTTGATAATTAAGAAAAAAAAAAAAAAGAAAAGAAATAAAGTTATTGGAAGAACGTTATTGCATAGACTATGAAAAAGATGTTATTCTATTAAAAATGAATTTAGCATTTCAGAACATCTGGAGATATCTTTGAGTGCAAGAACATATGCAGTTGTTAAGTGAAAAAGGCGCCTTCTTAACACTTGAGTGGAATGTATCTTGTGTCTGTATTCAAGTAGAGGCCTGTTAGGAATATGTAATGATTTCTAGCACTGATGTGTGGGTTCACACATGCATTTTAAAAAAACATGTGGACGAAGCATGAACTATAGCCACTATTTTTTAGGCTAATAGCATTTGAGTGTCAGAGCCTATTAACTTTATAGTGATACTAATTCCTTTCCCGAGTCATCTTCTCTTCCAAGTAAAATATAAGTTAATGGATGAAGACTTAAAAATGCAACTGAAAAGTAATTAAAATCTTTGTTCTTGTTGTTGAGCGAGACGTACTACTGCATATTTAACCTTATGATATAATTCCTTCTAGTGTCGAAGTTTTAGAATAACAGCTTCTTTATACTGATTTTATAGTTTATGGATAGACTGCTTATCTCGGTATGCTATGGAAAACTTCCAACGTGCAGCAGAAATAGGAGAAGAATTGAATGAAGCCTGGATTGTTCACAATGCTGTGGTGTATATTTTAAACTACAATAGACATCTTATCTCTTCGGGAAGACAGAGGGAAATTATTGAGTATCTGCAGACTCTTCTTGGAGCCATCAAGACTGTTGGGCACAATGGGTAAATTTAGATATTTGGTTATGAACATGCTCTTTTTTTTCTAAAACGGAAAAAATAAATCACTTTGTGCCGTGAAAGACTTATTGCTGGCTTTTAGTAGTAGTAGAAGGACTTTGGTATATACAGAGTAGTTCAGAAGATAAATTTAATTTTGTGGTACAAAAATGGCTTTTTAATCCTTTCTATTTGTTCTTTGTTACTATCCACTATAAGCTATATTAACTTGAGACTACGCAATATTAATTTCTCTTCATTGTGGAACAGCAACATGCATGTGAAATAGCATTTTGTTAAGCTAGTCAGAAAGAATCAGGAAAATTTTCATAGCCTGTGAGTCTGCAGGACAGCTTGAAATGTGTTTGCTTGCTGTCAGTTGCTCTGAAGTTGAATTATATTGTAAATAAAGTTCATTGTAAATATTTCTTATCAGAGTAAGCTGATTACTACTGGTTCTAAAATATAAGAGAAAAGGGGGGAAAAAAAAGGGAATGTGCACATTAATAGACCATGAAAATGGGAACACAGATTCCACAGTGATTTAGAGAAATCCTGTTCTGTAGTAAATGCAATGGGAGAATGACTGACTCTGACAGAGGAGATGCTCAAGTCAAAGTCTGACTGTGGGACAAAATCCTAGACATTTTAGCACACTATTGACAGTGACCTCAGCACCAGGCAAACTGTTAGGACTAGCAGCAAAGACTTTTTTAAACAGTATTGGAGAACAAGGCCTAAAGTGTAGTTTGTGCAGAGATGAAGACTTGTAATACCTGCTTATTAATTCTGGTATTTATATTAGTATGTATCAGCAATAATCTCTTAGTCATAATTCAGTTTGTGTTTACTAAAAAAAAAAAAAAAAAGGTAATTCCAGCTCAGCAGTTGATTGGTGTGAAGAGTATTACAGTGTACTAAATAAAAAGTTTTATCTGAGGGGTTAGGCTTAGGTTAATTTTTTTGGAAACAGTTATTATTTTCTTGGAAAAAGTTATTATTTTCATGCATAGCAGACCACTAATAAAAATGTGGTTGTCTGACATAAAAATTATTTTTTTTTTTCTGCGAGGAAATGGAAGCTTCAATTATAGAAAGAGTTGATAAAATATGATGTAAACTATGAAAGCCGGTTGTGGTTTTTTTGTACATTTAACCATTTTAACTGCTTTTCCAATGGGAAAATTTTTTGTAACATCCATAATTTTGCTTTCTAAGAAAAATCTAGATTTTCAAGTAATGTTTACTACTTGAAAGTAATAAACTTTATTACTTTCCTCTTATATCTGTTGCAGTATGCACTTCTGATTTTTGTTTTCTTCTACAGAAGTACTGCGATTTTATTGATGTTATGTAATGCTTTGGCTCGGGGCTTAATTCTTTGTTGGATTCCAAAGCCAAAACTTGCTGAGAAGAAAAAAGAAGATGCAGCAACAGACAGAAGCAGAAAAGCTGCAGCAAAGAAACATGGAAAAGCAAATGTCATACAGTCTTTTTCAGTAGATCCCAGTGGACTTCCTGATATCAAAGCTGCCTTAGAGGTATAAAGCCCTCATTTTTTGTAGTCTTTTTTGGTCTGCTGTCATATATTACAATTCATATAAATTAAATTGTAGAAATTTTTGCAGAAAATATGCTACCATCTTTTACAGTGCCTGCCACCACAGGTCCTCCCCAAATGCACACTGAAGTTCCTTACCAACTGGGGCTGAGTACTGTAACTTCTATTTGCTATATGGGCTGACTTAATGGAGATGTTGTTAGGCTTAGAGGTGCATGTGCAATAATTTTAAAATAACTAATGGATGGCATGTTCTATAAAAGGGCTTTCCACATTTCTCCTGTGTTTCAGTCTTTTTTTTTTTCTTCTTGGTGTTTAGATTTGTGAATTTGCCCTAAATGTGACAACTGGAACCATACCTAATGAAGCAGTACCTCTTGCTGCACAGCAACAGATCATTGCTACGTGGGTGAAAGCAAAACAGTTAAATCAGCAGCAGATCGGACATAAACTTGGGACTGAGGAGGAGGTATTATTTCTCTGAAATCCTGCATAATGCCGAAACTTTTCTTTGAAAAATTAAAATTAAATTCATAAATTCATTTAACAATGATTGAAATGATCAATGTGTATTTTCTTCTATATATTTGAATACAATGTGAAAATAAATTTTGGCTGTAGTTCCCATAAATCTTTACGGAATACAGCAAATTTTTCACATTGGGTGTAGCAGTGTGTCTACATTTCTTAACTCTACCTTCTGTGTTTAGCTGCCAAGAATAATTACGGTGATGTTTGTCATATGATGACTGTATAACAAAGTTGGTTTTGAATTCATACATTTAAAAAAATGGCTATATTAAAAATGTTAAGAAAAATCAGTTATATCAACACTTAATATGGTGTCTTTATATATAGAATACGGACCTAGTAAGTTGGAAATTAATATTTTATTCCTATATTTTTATTTTATTGTGTTTATAAAACCAGAATCTCTCAGTGATATAGGGAATTTACTTTCATTGTATTGTTGCTGCGTTTTTTTAATGTTGAAACTGTAGTAGTTCAGAGTTCACAATGTTAATTAAAAATAAGCAAACACATAAAATCCCCCATTTTAAGGACACAGTAAAGAAAGGAAGACTTGCTTAATGCAAACTGAGGTTTTCAAACATAGTTATTATTACCTTGTTATCCCAATTAATGTCCTTAATAATGTTTACATGCAAAAAAAAAATCTGTTAATGTGAATTTTTTATTTCTGCTTAGAATAATGATGAAGCACAAAATCCTACGGCAAGAGTTCTTGTTGGTCTAGAAATGTATTCATGTAATGGCTTGGGTCTCATGGATTTCACTGTTCCTAGCTTATCTCAGGTATTTAGTTTTATTTTGTTAGCTCTCGAGTTTTAAGAAATTGCATCGTATAAATGTGATTTTAGTTTCAGTTTTGGATGGAGGCAAAATTAATTTCGAAACTTCATTGTACCATTATTTCCTTTAAAACTTTCCAAGAGATTGAACAGTTATGACAGGTAGAAGATTTTTGTGACTGAATATTTTCATTCATCAAAAAAAGAGATAGTATTAGAATGCCAGTATTACAATTGTCCCCATGTTGCTCTAACAGATTATTTCCATAACCATCAGATGAGCATAATGGGTTCAGATTAATTCTGTACAGAACCATACTTCTGACCTTTCATTTTTTATGGAGAAAACTTTATAGAATAATAGAATCATTTAGGTTGAAAAAGACCCTTAAGATCATTGAGTCCGACCGTTAACCTAACACTACCAGGCTTGGTGTTCTGTTCCTTGGCTTGACAACTAGTGAAGAAATTTTTCCTAATATCCAATCTAAACCTCCCCGGGTGCAACTTGAGGCTGTTTCCTCTTGTCCTATTACTTGTTAATTGGGAAAAGAGACCGACCCCCACCTCGCTACAGCCTTCTTTCAGGTAGTTGTAGAGAGGTCTATTTTAGGGTTGGTATTGGAAGTATTCAGAATTTCAACAGAAAAATTTGTGTTACAGTGAATTTACTTTTGGCACTTGCAAGATAGAACACAACTACAATTTGTTACTATTTAGAGAATTAGGTGGCTTTTTGATGAGTCTTAATTGAGGCATAGTTTCTTAAAGTATTTGCTTTTGATCAGTCTTCCATGATTGCTCATGCTGAATAGTGCCACACTTTTTCTGTGATCCTGTTGGTTACCAGGCTGTTCAAGAGAAATAAAGGTGGTGTAGAAAGATTTATACCCTGTATTTTCAAAACAGTGAGTTGTAGTCTTACCTATTCGGTTACCACATTTATAATTTCTACCTCCTGTAAAGAGCTTTCTTAAAGGACTAAGAAGTATTTCCCCATTTAGCTAGGAATCTGGTGACATTGTCTAATACTTATGTAGAAGTCCTTCTTTCTAAAGACTAGGATCTGGGTCCTTATAAATATATAGGTATCTAATTTTAGTTGGTCTACAGATTTATGCCAAATATTATGAGTAAACTTTAGCTACTACTTCAGTGGCTTAGTTTTGGGGACCAGTATTGTAGTATCCTCATTTTGACCAATTCATTAACAATTCCCATTATCTTAAAAATATGGAACTTTCTACCTGACGCATGCAAAAGCAAAGAAGTCATTTAGATCCGATAATTAAACTATACATGAAACACCGTTGTTGTAAAACCAGTTCTATCTCCCATTCTTATCTTTGGCTTAACTAAAATGGGCTCTGAATTTCGTAAGTCCTGTTCCACTGATTTTCAGAAGAGGACTGAGGACATATAATAAGTCCTGGCAGATACTGCTGGTCAAAAGGTATGCACACTTACAGCTGGATTTACATACACTATTTTAATACTTACTACAGGGTGAACGATGCTTCTCTATTGTATATTTTGATTTTTCTTGTAACACTTTGGTTTTCTAGATTGTTTTATCACATGCTTGTTCCATGTCCAGGTGGGTTGTATGGAAGGTACAGCTGTAAGCATGTAAGTGCTATAGAAAAGAGCGTGATAATTTACTAAGATTTAAACTTTTTTTTTTCTTTTTTTTTTCTTTTTATTTTTTTCCAGTTAGTGAAATTGGCTTTAGAATGCAGTTGGTCAGATGCCCTAGTGGAACTGCAGACACTGGCACGGCTTACATATTTTGCATATGTATCACATGACTATGAAACAGTGATGACTTGTTCTAAAAGGATCTTGCCATCAGATGAGAATTTTTTCCACAATAGAGATACTAAGAAATATGAAATGTAAGTACATGGAATTTTGCATGATACTGTGGTATACTTGAACTAAGTTTTGAGGAAAGAATATATAGGGTAAATGCATCTGATCACATAATCAAAAGTGAAAGAATCTGTTTTAGAAAGAAACTATACAGTTAGAGGTGAAAGCAAAATTTTCCTAATTCTGCCGACTCTGTCATTACCAGTTATTTAAGTGCTGCAGATGATGTTTTAACTCTGCAGCGTAGCCTAAGTAAAAGGCAGTGTTAGATCCAGATTGTGGCTCTGGGCCCAGTTCAGGAAGATCTATGAATTTTGTTATCCAAGTGAATCAACAGGTCATATATACCTGCATTTGAGTGTCTTCCTGGGGAGCATTGCTTTTCCGAAATGGTCTCTGGCAATCATGGTCTTTTCATACTTTTGTAATTTCCAAACAGAAAGTAGCTTATGCTGGTTCTTTTGCTGATGCAAATTGCTTCCAGTGCTGAACTGGCTCTAATACACAAAGGGTCTACACAGTTTATGGAACAAGATGGAGCTGTGAATAACAGGTGATATCCAAGCTCTGGTGTCAGGTAGTCTTTATGGCCTTATTACCACCTATGCATATGGGTGCAATAGGAATGTAACTAATTTCTTTAAAAACGCAATTTCTTACTTAACTGATAATTTAAACCTTTGAGCTCAAATTAAAAAAGAAAAAAAGGTTTCGTATATAAACGGATCTGTTGGTGGAGTCCTGTATTACCAAAAGGTGATATCCTTCTATTTTTTTACATAATCTCCTCCAAAACCAGAATGTAATTTTATCAAAAGAGGGAGGAATCAACTCCATTTAGTAACAGTTTGTTGGAATGTAGGAAGTTTGAAATAAACATGTGAAACACTTCGAATATAATTTATTGTTAATTTTTCTCTCTGAAAAATAATTTCTCTTTCAAAAAAATATTTTGCTCTTTGAAATTCATAGTTGTTTGCTACATGGGGAAAATCCTGTAAAACCAAATAAGATATCTTAATATGAAATATATAGTTTCAGAACACTATAGAAATTGAGAAAAATAGTTGCTGCATGTCTAGCAATCGGCAAACTAGTGAATGATAAAACGTTTGCTTCTTTGACAAAGAAATGTAGTCATGGATTGTCAGTGCTGTTTCCAGAGAAATGGAAGATAAACTTAGTCTTCCCATGGTAAAGCACAACTTCAGGACAAAGAAGGGTTAAATATTTATTTTTAAATTTGTTGCTGCTGTTAACTGTAGAACACTAGTGTCCTCTTGTGGACACAACTCATAACTGCATAATAGTTCTTACCTAGGCCAACTAGAATGTCTATGTTTCTATATATGATTGCACGTTATAACTAAGACATTAAAAAAAAAATCTTGTAAATTTTATTATTTCTTTTCTTACAAAATCACTATTAACCAAAGATGTCAAATTTATTTACGTATTTATTTTTAACTGATTAACTGCTGGGACTGAAATCTACTTTCTTTTCTCTTAAGTGTAGTGGAGTATGACCCAAATCAATTTCTCCAGAACCCTGTGCATACTTTACTAAATATAAGTGAGACCAATTCCAAAAGAAAATATAAAAAATTGTCTAATTTTCTCTATTTCTGTTTTTAATTGCTTGCCATGTAAGTTTGACTAATATTTTGTTTGATGTACAATAGTGAATAATGTTGGAAATATTTTCATTAGACGTGTGAAAAGATATTTTCTTTCTGATAAGTTTTCACAAAATGTTCAGTTTTTCAAAGATTTTCTGATTTTAAAAGAAAAGTCAGTAGAAGCATTTGTAAATTCCAAAGCTAGGGACATCTATTTAGTAACAACTTGAAAGCATCGTTAATAGGAACTGGTATGTTCTTAGACTGTAGGACTAGCACTTCTTGAATTATTTGCCTTTATTCAGGCCTGGTAACAGAGTGAGACAAGAAATGTTAAGCACTACTGCCTGTATACAAGGAAAGAGTATAATGGAAAATTCGTCTGGAAGAAAACATTTGCGTGTAGCAGCATCAAAAGCCTTTGTTCAGAGTGCCAGGTATGTTTTATTTTGAGAGAAGACTAATATAAAATAGAACTAAAATTTGATTTACAGATTTGGAGATCAACATATTCTCTCCCAAGACTGATAAAAATCAAAATAGTTGTGAGTTGAAATGCTTAACAAAGGATTTGACAGTTTTTTACAGTTTAGTAAATTTATCAAGTACCATATCTTCCACATAGCTGATCTTGCAATGTCATAGGCTCATAGGAAAATCTGGTTGGTAGGGACCTCAGAAGGGCTCTAGTCCAAACTGCTGCTCAAGCAGGGCCAGCCCAGGGCTTTATCCAGTCTGGTCTTGAAAACCTCCAGCAATGGAGACTGCACAACCTCTGTGAGTAACCTGCTCCACTGCTTGACTCTACTCACGGGGGAAAAGTTTCTGCTTATGTCCACTCTGAACCTTTCTTATTTCAATTTATGCCTGTTCTTGCTTGTCCTGCCTTGCACTTTGAAGAGCCTGGCTTCTGCTTCTCAATAACTTTGTTCGGTTATTAAGGAACTTCTCATTAGGTCCCCCAAAGCCAACTCTTCTCCATGCTGAACTAGCCCTGTACTCTCAGCCTCTCGTCTCAAAGCAAGTGTTTCAGTCCCTGAATCATCTTGGTGGCACTCCACTGAGCTCGTTGCAGTTTGTCCATGTCTGGAGTGTGTTGAGTGGCCTAGAACTGGATGCGGTAGTCTAGATGTGGTCTAGAGAGTGCTGACTAGAGGGTGATAATCTATTCCCTCAATCTATTGTCCGTTCCTGTTAATACAGCCCAGGATGTTGTTGGCTGTTGTTGCCAGAGCACACTGCTGGCTGGTTTTCAGCTTGCTGTCCACCAAGACCCCCATGTCCTTTTCAGCAGAGCTACTCCTCAGCCAGTCAGTCCTCAGCCTCTACTGTTGCAGAGCATCATATTAATATTGTGATCTGCATGTCATGAGCCCAAAGTGGAAAGGTTGCTTTCAATAATGAATAGGCAGGAGAAGGTGATACATGGATGATGCATGATTTTGGTATTAATTCTTTGCTATTTGGAAGAAATAAATTAATGAGCAAAAGTAGGCAATTAGAACTCTTAGAAGATGAACACGTGCTGGCTGATGTGAGGCTGTTAATATTATAATACTTTCTTCCTTCCATTGATCATTAAAAAGAGAGTGATGAATGAAGTTAGACTAGCCAGTGTAACATAACTCTAAGGTGATGTCATGTTGCAGACGAATCTGTATTTTTTTAAATTTGCATGTTATGACAAGCACTTTTTCAGGAAGGACTGAGCATGTATATATAGCTCAACACATTCCAAAAGGGAGACAAAAAGTGGTGAGCAAAAACTAGGCCTTAATAAGTCTAGTGTTAAGACATAAGGTATGTGAGCATATGGACTCTAAAAATCGTGAAACTGGGAGAAAATGACAAAGATCGCCAGATTCAAAAGCTACTTTTTTTTAAAAAATAGTAAAACTATTCAATGGGTAATTGTTTCATAAAAATCCATAATTTTTAGCTAAATTCTAAAGCTTTTGCTCACTCATATGAGTACTGTGTTGTGTGACAATCTGGAGAATTATTAAATTTTATTAATTCAAAGTAACATTTGCATGGAATATGCTGAACACAATTTGAATGCAGCTAGAGGCATTCTGGGCATATTCTTGTGTTACATTGGTACTGTAGTATGCAAAATCCATAGCATTTTAATAATTGTTTTGTTCTATTTTGTAATGTTTTTAGAATGAGGAATTAACATAATAGGAAGCCAAAATAGTAGATTATTCCAATGAGAACATCTTGAATAGATTTCTGTTGTTTTTTTAGTGAAGGCTCTTGAGCTAAGATTATACACAAATACAGTAAAACCATGAATATGGTACTTGTTTACTGCTACTTCTGCTGAATGTGTGAAGGTGTTTTGTACATAAAAATGGAAAATATCTTTTGTATGAAGCTCACATGCTAACCTGTCATTGCTGAGATTATATATGGTAGTGCCTAGATCAGGTAAACTCGGATGTTTGTAGAAGTACAATCCTTTATTTTGGCTTGAGTGTGATTGTTTTCCTTCATTAAGCTGTACTTCACTTTCTTCAGGTACGCAGGTGAAGCTGGAAATGGTTCCCTTGTAATGTTTGCAGCTAGACACTTTTGGAATACATGTTTACCTTTGCTAGGTTCTCCACATGACAGAGAGCAGTTTAAAGAACCTATTGAAATAATTCTTAAGAATATAATTAAAGCGGAATCTAAAAATACACAGGTAAGAATATCTAGTAGGTATTGTTAATTGTGCTTGTGTTTAGTGATCGGTACTGATGATAAAGAAAAATTTTGGTTTGCCCTGAAGCTCTGGGTGCATACTTCAGGATACCTTTCCTAAGAGGCGAAAGTGACTGACTTGGTGAGAATTGTGATGGTCAAATTTTCACAGGTAAGGCCAGCTAAGCAAAATGGGAGAAGAGACATTAAGTCATCTTTTAAAAATGGTCTGAAAATAGTCTGAAAAAATAAGCAGTTACTCGGTTTTGACCAGAGAGGTTGTGGATTCTCTGCTTAGAGTACTTGAAAGATGATCCTTGTGGGTCCCTTCCAACTCAGGACATTGACTCCATGATTCTATGACTGAACAAGGCCCAGAGCAACCTGCTCTATTTCAGCCTGCTTTGAGCAGGGGTGTAGACTAGAGAGCTCCAGAGGGTCCCTGCCAACCTCAACTATTACATGATTCTCTGACAGAGTACTTCAAGATTTCACGTTATTTAATCAGCGTAGCTGATTGGATATTACTGAGTCTGGTTATTGCTATATTGGTTTTGTATTATAGAACTCATTCTGGAGAAATGGCTGTGGTTTTCATCTCCTGCACAAGTAGCTATTTAAGTAACAGGATAATAGTTCACATTAACCATATTACTTGGTTTACAAATGAAACAGAAGTACAGTAATACTTAAAGACATATGTTAACCAAAAGATAAAGTGTTGGGTTTTTTTTATCTTTTTAGGAGAAGAAAGATGTGTTGCCTTTGCATCAGTGGATTACAAAGGATTTTCAAAGTATCGGGTTATCAGTTGGATGCTTTGTCCCAGGCATGTTCTTCCTTCTTTTGATCTGGTACTAAAAAAAAACCCCAGTATTTTGTAATATCATTATTCTAATTCTGCAGTATATTAATAAATCATTTGAATATACTTCAAAGGTGCTGAGGAAGATCTAACATTACGAACCTCCTTGTATGGGTTATTATTCCACATGTACGCTGATAAAGCTGACTGGGACACAGCGCTAAAAGTCCTGGATGAAGCTATTCAGGTTTTGCCTCAGACAAGACACAGGCTGTAAGTTGGTTGACTTGTTTTTATTAAAATCAGCATCCTGATTCTTGAGAAGTGTATAACTCTGAGTATTTTTTTTATTATGCATTGGGAAAATACTATGATTGCTTTTTGTCAGCCTGTCAGTTCTTATAACAGAAGACACTGTTGTGTCTTTTTCATCAAAAAGACATACATTGGCAGTGCTTCTTGCCATTAATCTGTTCATAATATTTGTAAATTTCATTTTTTTAAAACTTCTATGTAAGTAGTATCTTTTCCAAGAAAATAGGCACATGAAATGTGGCTACATAGCAGAAACTTTAATCTTCCTAGCTGTAAACGCATTTATGTTAAATGGAAACAAAATTATCTAGGGTACTGTTTACATAGTCTTATCCAAGTTCAAAGATTTATGCCCTTTTGTACATCTCTGTACTATACTGATATGAACTGTATATCTATCCCACTCACGAAGTTACTTTACAGGTACAGATGGAAGTAATTTGCAATGTTTTTGGTCTTTTTCTAGCCTGATTTTTAAACATATGGCTACAGTGAAGGCAGCATTGGGACGCAATTTTATGATGGACATTCAAAAATTTAGAGATGAAAGTGAAGATTATTTGTCACATATGTGGCGTCATTTGGTAACAGTCTCCAGAAGTATTGTTGGACAGTTAAGCTGTTTTCAAAATGCAATTGTTGCTTTACAGGTTTGTCAGTTTTTACTATATGTTCAAATGCTGATAGAATGATGTTTCTCAAGTGATTTATGGGATTGTCAGTTCTGTGAAGTATATAATTGAACTGGTAGGAAGGCCATATACTTGACCATTACTTTCTGTAACTTTGAAATTGCTCTTCAGTTGGAAAACTATATAAAGTTGAATCTTAGTATCCAGTAAAAGTTCAGTTGAGTCCTGTCAAAGAAAAATGTCTAAAGTAGCCAATTGCAAGAAGTTTTGATGAAGCAAAGCATTAACTGATAGAGTTTTCTGTTACATTCTGTGTAGCATAACTCTGGTTATGTGATGCCAATAAAACTGCTCACGGTCAAATTATTATTTTTTGCTTCTGTTAAGACTATATTGAACTTTTGAATATAATTTTGATGGTTTACATCACCAAATATAAACAAACTCTTCCTTTATTACTTTTATAGAAACAAGAAAATGAATGGCAGAAGGTTGATTATCTGATAGAATTTGCTGAATGGTTATATTGTAACCAGTTTCCCCTCAATGATGTTATTAAACCTCTGGACTGGGTGGTAGATCTCTTGCTACGTATGAAATTTTCTATGCAATCCTCACAAGAAGAAGGTATGTAAAAGGTGTATATCCTTCAGAGGAATTTCTCAGCAGCAAATGCAAGGGACGTTTTTAATTTACAACTTAGTTACCGCAAAGAATGGCACCAGCTTTGCTGTACTTTCTCTGATATTCACTGCCATTTGTTCAATGCTAGCTTAACTATATCTGTGAATTCTGTGTCATGCCATGGAGACCTACCCTCAGTCTTTTGGTATAGCAAGATACAGCTCCTATCTGACGTAGGAGTTCCTGAGTTGTGAGATGCTACCAGAAGGCAATGCTAGGCAGTTTGTTTCAAATGCATCCTCATGGAGGGCCAGATATAACTGTAGGAGATGGTTTCTTTGCCAAGATTTGGGTACCTATGTCCATTGCTCTTTCTGTGGCTTTATCTAGTATTTTAGGATTGATTTTTCAAAAATGACTTTCAATGGATGTATGCTTCCAAGTACTTACGTAACTGTAAAATTTCTTTGGTCCTTTGGGTGTTTGTGTTGAAAAAGCTCAGTGTTTCTAGTATCACACATTTGATTAAAGTCACAGTAGCAATATTCTGTTCATACTTTTCTGTTAGTGGTTTTGTTGTTGTTTTTTTTTTTTACAGCCCTATGGTGATTTAAAGTTTGTACTTGTTCTTTAATGATCTTCACATGGTTGCTTATGACTTCTTACACCGCCTATGTTTCAAGAAATTTTTTACAAAACTTTTAATGGAAACTGAAATGATATAATAAGAAAAATTAAATTCAAATACAAAACAGCCCAGGTTGGAAGGGACCTCAAAAGATCACCTGGTCCAGCCTTTTGTGGAAAAAGGAGCCTAGATGAGATTATCTAGCACCCCGCCCAGCTGTGTCTTGAAAACCTCCAGTGATGGGGACTCCACCACATCCCTTGGGAGGTTGTTCTACTGATAGGTCATTCTCACTGTAAAAAATGTCTTTCTTATATCAAGATGAAACCTCTCCCAGTGCAACTTGTACCCATTGCCGCTTATTCCCTCTGCGTGGCTTCTTGTGAAGAGAGAGCCTCTGTCCTCTTTGTAGCTGCCCTTTAAGTACTGGAAAACTATGATGAGGTCACCCCGAGCCTTCTCTTTTCCAGGGTGAAAAGACCTTAACTCCTTAAGACTTTCTTCGTAGGGCAGGTTCTCCAGCCCTTTGATCATCTTCATGGCCCTCCTTTGAACCCTGTCTGGCCTGTCCATGTCTTTGTTGATTTGTGGGGACCAGAACTGGACACAGTACTCCAGCTGCAGCCTTACAAGCACTGAGTACAGTGGGTGGGATGGTCACATCTCTATCTCTGCTGGTAATGCCCTGCCGATGCAGCCCATGATCTGACTTGTCTTCACTGCTGTAGCAGCACACTGCGGACTCATGTTGCTTGGTTTTGAGCTGAATTTCAAGCAGAGTTGGAATTTCTATAAAACATCAGTCTTTACTGAAAAATTACTAGAATTACACAGCACAAAAGAGAGGATTGAGTAGCAGAGTATCCTCTGTAGTTGCCATCAAGAGCCATTAAGGTATCTTGCTACAGATACAGGGATGAGCTTGAGCTATGTTCTAGACTTAGAGTTGACATTGACCCACCTGTAATTGGATTATTGCCTGTTTCTGTTTTGGAAATGAGTGCTGGCCAAATATGCTTCTTGCCCACTAGGCTGCTACTGGTAGTTAGGACATGGTCTTTGGTCACCGTAGAAACCACTATGACAGGATCAAGAGGATTTTTGATTTGACTGCAACGCTACTTGAGTGGCTGAAATAAATAAGTGAGACCGTCTTTCCCACAGATTTATTTTCATATGACATAGTTAAAGTGTGCTTGCTTTGGATTTAATTTCTGTGTCGGACTTACATCATTTAATATGCATAACTGTTACGTTATTCATTGAAAACATGGTACAAATAGCATTGCATCACCATAAGAAGAACATCTTTAGTAGATGAATTTCCATTTTTCTGTTTTTTTCTAGAAATATTTTCATTTTCAATTCAGAATTTTTAACTTTTGAATACATTTTTAAAATACTGTCACTGCGAGCATGTTATTTGTTTTTTAACAGAAAAAAATACTATACCAAAATTTTTGCCTACAGAAAATTTGAAGATAGACATTGGAGCAAATGATACCATGCCCCAAATTAATTTGGACAATTTGAGTAATATCAAACAATTGGAAGCTTTGTTTAGAGCACAGACATTAATGGCTTTAATTTCTGGTCAGAGTTCTCCTTTTCATCAGCAGCACTGTTTGATGGCATATGCTTGTATCGTCCGTATCTGGCAGGTGAGATTGTATGAGATGATATTATATTGTAATGTGGCCAGTATATTTCAAGTTATCTTGTGTAGTTATGGTGCCAGCTATTCATTTGATGTTTTAACTACGTTTTTAGAATTTCCAATTTTATGGTATAGTTAGTGTATTTTGTCAGGTTTAAGGATTAAACAAGAAAATTGTTTCTCTCAGGAAAATAGAGCAGAGACATATTAAGGATAAAAGCAGTGGCCCATTGTTTCTCTGGAGTATGTTCATATGTTTTGTGCAGAAGGTTCTAAAATTTTGTATTTTTAATTTGTTAAAGAATCTTAGTAGTGGCAGAATACATGCTGAAGACATTGCTGACAGTTCTGAAGGACGGTAATTACAGATGGACCTTCACTTCCGTTGAATCAAAGGAGCTGTCATTTGATTGAAAGGAATTGTGTGACATAGTTAAATTAAATTCAGATGTTGATTCGTTTGTTAAGTTTTGAGGAAAAGCCTAGACAGGCAGTGTTCACCAATTATTATTCTTGAATCACTTCAAATTAAAAAAATTCTTTCATTTCTCATTGATATGAATGCCTAACTTAAATGGCTATTGCGAATCATAGCAAAAATCATAGGAAAACAATTATACATTAAATATAAGTAAATCTTTGAAGGGACTAAATCTATACTTGGTAATGCCACAAATCATTATAGAAACAATCTTAGTGCTATGGATGGGACATATCAGCTAGATCGGTAAGCTATAGCTTGTGCATAATTTTATTCCAATTAGCTGTAAAAGTCTGCAATTTCTTACTCCTGTGGTAATTATGATCAAGTTTTCATTGTGAAATCAGTTCACACTCTAACATTTGATGGAACACAGGAATTTGAAAAATAAAAATTGAACATTAATATTTTCAGCTTTTACATAAGCATAATTTTTAATATCCTGAACTTGACTGTCTGAGTGTCTTACTAGAGAAAACGTATCTGAAAGGAGTATTACTGTTTGAATAAACTATTAAAAATAAAAACATTGAGTTAATGAAGCTGTCAGTGCCAGTTGTAGGACAATGACAGTAATTCTAAGAACTCATATTTACCTCTGAACGGTGCTGTGAGAGAAAGACTAACCATGTGGCATTAAAGGAATGAAAATACTATAGGACAGCTTAACCTTGTTTTGGAGTACAAAGTAAAGCAGACTTGACTGCAGATGTCCATTTCTAAAGCAGTTTTTCAAGTGTTAGGACTCCATAAATAACTCTGTAGAAGACATTTAAATGTTCTCTGAAAACCTGGATGATGCAAGCCAAATCAGCTGCCTCTGACTTTATTTTAAAGACATGTGGTATCTTTAATTTGAAATTTTGACAAGACGTGCAGCATCCAGCATTATTTTTTGTTCATATTTTGTGTTCTGCTCTTGATCCCTCCAGCAAAATATATTCATCTTCTCAAATTAATGTGTTTGTTTTATTTTAGGTAAGATCAGAAGCTGTACTATTGCATGTGCAGAGAAATTTTCAATGGATACTTTCATATCCTTAAATAATATTAGAAATTTCTTTTACATAACATTCATTAGTAGCATTATAGAAGACTAATCCAGAAGGAGAACAGAGTGGCTCTTTGCAGTCTTCCAGATTACATTGATATGAAATTCATCTCTTGTAGAAGATTAAGCAGTCTAGACTAGTGGTTTAAAAAAAGGAATTGAATTTACAACCATATAGGTTAAAAAAGTAGCAGTAGTATTAATCACAGGGATGATGTAATCTTTTGACAGTTTAGCTGCTTAAGTGCATTGTCACTATCATCCTAAATGCTTGCACAAATAACGTGAGCATCTAGGAGTCTGAAATTTTAGTTTTCTGAAGAAAGCTCTTAAGCGAACATAACGTGGTATGTGACAATTGTTAATAGCTGTAGATAGTGACTTACAGTGAATGATCATTATTACTAGAAATTGACATTATAATTGAAAATGGAAAATAAGTAACTATAATTATTTTATTGTCTCTAGGTATCATTGTCAGCATCAGGACCTATTACAAAAGTATTATCAAAGTCTTCACAACTTACAGCTCCTCAGAAGGTACAATCAATAATTGCTCCTAAAAAAGAGGACAAAAAGAACGATAAACAAGTAAGAACCCCTTTCCTCTGGAATTAAAAAAATCCTCTCTTTCTGAAAGATGTTTCCCTGGGCTCTTTTGTTAAATAGTTCAGATGCCTTCCTGTAAAGACTCTCATAAACTGTGAAGAATTTCTGTGTGAGTCTGTGTATCATACCTTCACTCTTGATCGCATGGACTTGACAGGTCATAAATTTACAGATACTTTTTCTTTTCTTTTGTTTGTTGCATTGGTCAAAATACTTGTTTTGTAAAACCCACAGTCTAGAGGTCAAAAAAAAAAAAAAAAAGACAAAACTTCAAAGGATATTAAGCAGATTACCTTTTTTTTTTTTATGTTAGCTGAATATTTAATACCAACAGGAATGTTAATTTGACCTCGTATATGTCCTTATTTTTTTATTATAGGTTGAAGTTTCTGTTGTGAAAGAGAACCCTAAAGGGAAAGGATCAGTTGATACCTTACCAGCAAATGTGGAAGAATGGGCTCATTATGACTGTCCCAATGAAATCAGAGATACTTTTAAACAGAAAACAAATAGTTACGGTATTAACTGGGACAATTTCCCCAAACCTGTAAGTATACTCCTCAAATTTCTAGCATTTATTATTTATGAAAAAAATGAGTAGCAGAGAACTCTGTTGTGGTTTAGTTTTTCTGTCTGTGCAATAAAGAGTATGTTCAGACAGCTGTCAAATACTTCCTTTTCATATTATTCAGTAATACTTCAAAAAGTGTTAGTCTGTCCTCTGCATTCTGAAATGAACTTAACTTACAGAATAAGTTTACTGGCTTTCTGTGTACCTAGCTGCTTTTTCAGCTTGAAAGTTTGTTTGATATAGATAGATAGATAGATATTAGTGAAGTTTGGAACTGAAGGTGTAATCATTAATTTAAAATTTATTCTCTATAAAATGATGTTTATACTGATTGAATTTAAAAAAAAAAAATTTTTTTCAGACTTGTACTTTGTATTTCATGGACCTGTTGGCTAAAGAACTACAGAAAATTTTTTGTCCCCACTTGATTCTTCCCATCTTTCAGCTAGCTGAAGTTATTGCTAATGAAGTTGTGGAATGTAGAAGTCTGTCTGATCTCTATCACCTTCGGTTTGTATCCTTTATTTATTTTAAATAAAAGAGAAACTGAACGGAGCGGACCATCCATTAATATTTCACTAAATAGTAACAAGGCTTTTTGTAACTTATTGTTTTATATTTGTAATGTTTTTTATTTCTTTTCATTCCTTTTTTATACATTTTAATAGGGTTTTGATGAATTGGCTTGCTTGTGGAATTCAAGCCACTAAGTTTGTCTGTTACTAAACATGATCTCCCCGAGGAAAGGTGTGCAAGATTATGAACTCAAGCCACTTGCACGTGAATAATTTTTGTAATGCCTTATTGTCACCTAACTGAAAAGAGCAAATCCAAAAAAATTTCAATGAAAGTATTATCTTTTAAGTATTCAAAAGGCAGACTCCTATCTTGCATCAAAAATATATTGTCTTTAGCTTAACCCAAATAAATATCCCCAATAAGCTCATTCTATTTTATAGAGAGATTTGCCTCTGTGACCAAAATTCTGTTATTTTTATGGATGGTTAGCCCTAAAAGTTTTGATTCAAAAATATTTAATATGCATGTAATGGCAAATTATTGCTGTTTTAGTTAAAACATTTTATCCTGCTTTTTTGAAATTTATTGCTTAATGTTTGCTTAATAATTAACAGTTATAAGCAATAATTGTTTGCTTAATTCCTGAGAGTTTGTGAAATACCACATAATGTATTTTTAAAATACCTGAAACTGATCCCACGTAACAGAATAGATAAATATGCACGTATACAAATGTATGTGTGTTTATCTGGATTGCCAACTGATTACTGAGTTACTGTATTAAAAGACTAAAAGTAGTTTATTAATAGGAAATTGATTTGCAGCCAAGCTTTGCCAGACAATTTTTTTTGTTGACTCCTCAAGGTTTGTTTTTATTTCTTTTTTTTTTTTTTTATATCTATGACCTGATTTTTATATATCATCAGATAGGTGTACATGAATATATTACTCTTTACTCAATACAGAAAAATAGGTTACCACATATACATGTATAGGGCTTTTTGCATGCTGTAGTGTGACCATATTATAAATATTTTCGTACCTTTTACTGCATCGTTTTTGCCGCTAAATTGGAGAGAGATGGGTTTGATGGATGGACTGGGGATACTGGTGGATGCCCCATCATTGGAAGCGTTCAAGGTCAGTTGGACAGGGCCTTGAGCAACCTGATCTAGTGAAAGATGGCCCTGCCCATGGTGGAGGGGGGTGGACTAGATGATCTTCAAAATGTGCTGTCCAACCCAAACCGTTCTGTTATTCTATGACCTCTATCAATGGGTAATTTCAACTGCCGCATTTCCCCTGTTTTTATTTAAAATTTTTGTTATTGCCAATATTAATCAAGACATAAGAAGGTAGGATTGAACAAATGTGGAATGTATGCTTTTTATATATAATGTGTTTATATGAAGCAACATATGAAAGATTCCGATTGTTTCTTAAACATTTCTTCTTTTTATTCTTAGAATTGCCCTGGTATGTTCAGACTTAAAACTGAGTCAGGCATCTTTGTATCATGAGAAAGCTGCTGGAGAAGCATACATTAGTGAATTAGAACAAGCAATGTATGTATTTTCACTACAGAGGCTGTATTTAGTTGGGTTTTTTTC